ACCTAGGATCCAGGCGATCGGGGTTCGATTCCCGGTCAGGGCACATGCCCGGGTTGCGGGCTCGATCAATGGCTCTCTCATCATTGATGTTTCTCTCTCTCTCTCTCCCTCTCCTTTCCTCTCTCTGAAATCAATAAAGATATATTAAAAAAAAAATGTTGGCTTGAATCTTAGAAGTTGATTACTAAATAAATATATGTCCTTGCTTTTTTCCCCTCACTTGACACCCTAATACTTGATGTACAAGATCATCAGTCTCTTGTTTTGTCTGAGTGCTGGGAGAAGTAAGACACTGCATCTGTGCGGGGCAGCAGGACTTGACCTGAGCCTGAGGGTAAAGCTAGGGCAGGGCAGGGAGCCTCCCTGAGGGTGTGGTGTCTGAATTTAGCTCTGAAAGAGGCACAGTGCTTGACGAAGTGGAAGTGGTGGCAACAGCCATGACACCGAGGAAACAGAGAGAGTGGGAGGAGGCCAGGCTGGCTGAGTGAGAGATGAAGGAGGGGGCTGACATGAGGTGAGGCTGGAGAGGTTAGCAGGGTTGTGTGGGGCTCTCCATGCAGGGTAAATAATTTTGTGTTTCTCCCACGAGTGATGGAAAGTACTGGTAGTAGTAGGAACATGACCAAATTTGCATTTGGAAAAGATCTCTGTGTTTTGGTTGTGGTGCACATTGGGGGGGGGAGAGCTGGCAGGTGGGTCGGCAGGTGGGAGACGGCAGGGCTCTGGACCAGAGTGATAGTATTAAAGGTACAGAAAGTTGGACAGATTTGAGAGCTGTTTAGGAAGTAAATGCAGCATTAATGTTAGTTGGATATGATGGTCTTAAGAATGAGTCCCAAATTTCTGCCTCGTCATAGCTCAAAACTGAACGGATGATGTTGCCATATTTGAGACAGAGAACACAGAAGAGATCTTCTAGGAAAAGACATAAACACATCTTCTGTTTTGTGTTTCTAGCAATAAGTAAAGTAAGGAAGAGAAAGCATACTGTCCAAAATAAGCAAGCAGATTTTAAGCAAGAAGTCATTTCTAACATAGGAGAGATTTTCAGGGTAATTAATGATGAGCACCTGTGGCTCCCCAACATGTCCCGAAGACATTCTTTATACTTTCTGAAAGTTAAAGCATTTCCCCTCTCCCTGTAGGATTTAGGAGAGACAATTGGAAGAAAATACTGTAACCTGAGAAACACTGGAACCCGACCATCTGTGCAGACTGTGAGGTGGAGCTGAGTCTGGGCCCAGGAAACCTTCCTGCAGGCAGCAGTCTTGCTGGGAGTTTTGGCCAGCTTCATTTATAAAATAATCATTTTCGATTTCAACACGTATCAGTTTTTGCCTCCAGAACTGTGACGCTCTGTGACCTGTACATTATTTCTAAATTGATTAATGGGAGTTTCCTGATACTTTTTATAATCTATGGATTTTTTCCTATTTTAATGCCCCCCCCCTCCATATTTTTTTCTTAAAACTCAGAAAGAGGCCAGGAAAAGCAATCGAACATATAAACAGATAGCTCTAGAACACTAGATGCCCGAGAGGGTCATTCGCACTAAGGCACATTATGTTCCCACACAGCCAAGTGGCCACGATCCATACATTCTGGGCTTGGTTTTGACACACGCCTGCTGTAGTTTTTAATGGATGACCTAGAATTAAGCGAGTGGCTGAGTTATAAGATGACTGACAAATCAGTCATTAAAAATAAGCAAATCAGGGCATTTTTCAAAGCTCCGTTTCTCTTGGCATTTGTGTTTGCGTCTTTCCCACTGGACAGTTAGTACCCGTGTTGGGGGCTGAATCAAGGAAAAGAAGAGAAGTCCAAGTGTTTTCCACAGTCCCCTGGGTGTCCCCTCTGTACTGCTCCACCGGCCTACCTGTTGGCATCCTGAGCCTGAAGGTGTGGAGAAGCATCAGGAAGGTCTAGCCCTGGCCAGTGTGACTCAGTGGGTAGAGAGTCGGCCAACACACCGAAGGGTCACGGGTTCAATTCCTGGGTCAGGGTGCGTGCGGGAGCCAAGCAGTCGATGTGTCTCTCACACAGATGTTTCTCTCCCTCGCTCCCTCCCCCCCCCTTCCGTCCGTCTCTTCCACTCCCTCTGAAAAGCAATGGAAAAAATATTTTCAGGTGAGAATTAAGAAGAAAAAAAATGACAGGCTATACCAGCAAGGAGTTTACAATATAGTTAGAGGATAAGACATAACTACATAAAAATAAACTATATAGGGCATATTATACACAAGAACGCTCCAAAGCCTCCATTTAAATTGCCTTTGTTGGAATTCTGTTAGTGGTTAGTTAGATGCATAAGCAAGTTCACAGAGCTCATGTATTTCATATGTACATGAATATTACAGTAAAATATTTTTCATTCAAAATAATTCTCCGGTTGTTTTTATGAGAAAGTGTATCCTAGTCTCCATGCGGAACAAGAACACACCCTCCAGCCAGGACCAGCAGTGACGGCCCGGCCTTGCCCCAGCTCTCACCAGACCACATCGCCTCTAGTGCTGACTGGTGGTGAAGGAGACATCTGACTGCAGAGTGACACAGCTGTGGGGCTTGGATGGACATTTGGGGGTGACCACCCTTTGGACATGTTTTAAAACTACATAGACAGGAAGGAGGAGAAGGCAATTTCTAAGTTACCAAAAGCCCGAAGAGTAGGCTTCTATTCCCGCAGCGCAGCAGCCCATGTGTCCTGACGTACTCCCCTGCTGAAAACAACTAAAAATGCTGAAAGCATTTAAAAATCTCTAAAAAGTATCCATGAAATGCCAAGAAAGGAAGGCCCACTCAGAAGACAAAAAACGAGTCAGAGCTGGAACCCAGAAAGTTAACTGACACAGAGCTAACCTTTGCCTTGAGCGTATTTGCCAAACACTGTGAACAGAAACGTGGGTTTTCACTGTTTTGAAGTGTGGGAGGACAGGGCCAAACCACAGGCCTGCCAGGGAGCAGTGCACGAGGAGACGGCCGCCCGGCCCCTGGGACCAAGGTCCTCAAAGGTGCACCTCTAGTTTAAGGCTGAGTAAAAATCAATCCCCATCTTTTCTCTCCACTGCCAGGAAAACTGACTGTGACAAAACATGCTGCTTCACGGGAATTTGAAGCCACAAGTTTTACAAAACCTGTAGCTGATAATTATTTTAAATAACTTTTTAAAAAACGATCCTAGATTTGGTAGTTTTCTCAAGCAACTGGTGGAATGAAACAATCTTCTCTAAAGGGGTATGACTTTGCTCAGAGCTGCACAGAGTCCCCACCTGTAAATACCAAAAACCACAAGCTCCTGGTCAGAGCTCACAGAAAGCATAAGGTAGAAACAACAAATGAAATTAGACACATAAAGACTTCAGATATAGAATGACCAGACATACACTGCAAAATATCACATGTAAAGAACGGAAAGAGTATGCTGAGGGTGTGAATACAGAGAAAGGAACCATGAAAAGGCACACGCAGGTTGAAAAAGATTTAAATAGAATTTCTAGAAATAAAAATATAACAATTAAAAATCATATTCGATGAACTGAACATACTTGATAAAGTATTAGCTCTGGCTGAAAACAGGATTTTTGAACTGGATGATAAATGAAAACATGTCACCTAAATGCAACAGAGAAAAGAAAAGGGCAGGAAACACAACAGAAGCTAAGAAACAGGAATGACCGACGGGGAAGGAGAGCCCATGTCCAGTCGGAGTCCTGATGGGAAGAGCCGGGAGCACGACAAGTGTTTGGAGAGCTAATGAGTAAAAACTTACAGAAGAGAAGAGAGATAATAATAAAAATATCCATGACCTTAAGCAGAACAAGTAAAGTCCATGCCCTGAAATATCACAGTGAAATAGGAACTGCCAAGGACAGAAAACACCTTTAAAGGCAGATCACCTCCAAAGAAACACTGGCTTTCTAGCTGGCTACCTAAGAACAGCAACGGAAACCAGAAGACAGTGAGTGGGTGTCTCTAACGTGCTGGGGACAAACCCTGCAAAATAAAAATATTTTAAAATAAACATCAACAGTCCCTTTCTAAACAAGTCTCTAAAATAGTACTTTAGATAAAAGGGAAGAGATCAGAGATCACAGGTGAAGGGCCTGCTATTCAAGGTGAAACAAAAAGCAGCAGAAATGATAAGTTATTGGCTGAATATAAGCATTTATTGTATAAAGCTAGACCAGTGTCTTGTGGGATGGAAAAAACAGGAAAAATATACACAAACAGCACACATGTCAGGAGGGGAGGGATAGACAGAAAAGCGTTCCAAGATCTTTGAGTTGGTTAGGAGGAGGGGGAACAATAACTTTGGGCTGTGATAAAAATTTTAAGATAATCCCTAAAAAATTATAATAAGACATATAACTTTGAAACTAACAGAAGAAAAAAAATGAAGAAAATTTCAAAAGAAGGCAATAAAAAAATTAAGAAATAGTCTCCTAAATCACTCGCAGGTCAAAGAGGTCCTCACCATGGAAATCAGAAACCATTCTATGGGACAATAACTCCTTCGGATCAAACGTGTGGATTTCAGACGAGCTGGGCGTGAAGGAGGGGCCAGAGCAATGGCTCCCTCAAGGGAGACAGGAGGGAAGGGGCGCACCCAGGAGGCCTGGAGACGGTGTCTCCTCCGTTTACTTAAACTCACTGACCTGTGGGCATCCATCATGTGTTGTGTCTATTACACCTATTTTATAATTTTTATATCTATTTGACTTTTAATGAAAAATTACAATGAATGAAATGGAAACCCAGCCTAAGAGTGTGGCCTAGGTTATAAACATGAGCTCCTGCCCGTAGGGTTGTGGCCACTGATTCCACAGTGGGGGCCTGTGCACAGGCTTCTCCAGGATTGGGCTGGAATCACTGGGAACAGAACTGAGGACAGTATATCTAGTTGGGGACAGACTTCGAGGAGCAGGTTCTCCTCTTGTGCTGAGCATCCAGGATGAGCATAGGTAATAGAAATAACTGAGGAGACAGGCAGTTGGAGCCATTAGTAAACCGTTACCAAGAAATTCAGTTTATCTTTTCATTCCATTTACAAAGAAAATGAAGGAGTGTGCTGTGATTTTTGAATAGGATTTTAGGAAAATTGTATAGGTGCAATGAAGTTCTTTGCCACGGCTCTTGTGTACCCACCCTGAGGGCCACACCTGGTTAATGTGGGAGACTGGAGGCCCAGGTTGCCCGGGCCCCTGCCCTGTGGCCCACCCTCCCAGTTTATCAAAACTCCCAGTTTAGTGAGTGTTCCGGGTCATGAATGGGTCACCTGCTGGCCTCAGAAAGACAGAAGGAGAAAAAGAAAAGCCCATCATTGCTGGGCTGCCTCTCCCTCGGCTACAGTTACCCACTCCATCAGCATGGTGACAGCTGGCCCCACAGCTAGAAGGGCGACACCTCAGGTCAAGGTGAGTCAAGCCTGCCATCTGGTCCTGTGAGAGGCTCCAAATGCCACTTCCCGGAGAGTTTTCTTTGTATTTCTGCACCCAAATGAGAGTCAGGCTCTCACTCTCAGACACACTGACTGGATAGGGCCCCACATCCAGAGCGGCCATGACGCCAGGAAGCACTCACAGCGCAGGAAAACGTACTTTATAAACCTTGAAGGGCCCCCAACTGAAAGGTGTGCGCTGGGAGGCAGGTGTTGTCCCCTCGACTCTAGGAAAGGACGTGAGCCACGAGGAGGCAGTGGAGAGGCCGGGTCCGTGAGGGACTCGCCCAAAGCTAGGGGCAGAGAAGGTTGGGGTAAGAATTCAGGTGCTTGTCCTTCAAACACACTTTGCTTTCTATTAAATAGATGCCAGAGTTCTGGTGAAAAACACAGCAGGAAGAACTGTGCTGGAAGAGAAACTGTTCATCCTTAAAGGAAAGAACGGAGTGGCTGCCAAGGATGAGGCGACGGGATGCTCGTTAACAGCCAGGACGCAAACCCACTGCAATCCAGGTGGCGAAGGGCGTGCACACGGAAATGCCTGAAGCACCCTGGGGTGGAAGATTGCCAGGGCTGTGAAGCGTAACATACTTCTCATGAGGCCAGCGATGTGGGGATAAAGGTTAAATTTTTCAACAAAATACTTTCAATTTTGTATTTATAATTCCCACAGACACAGAGTTATTTTGCAAAGAGCCGTGTAGATTTTTTGAAGTTAGAGATAGCTCACAGAGGAGCAGTCCGTCTCAAAGTAAGGGGATGCGGGGGCTCTGAAATCACAGAAGAAAAATGATACTGAAATGAAAATTGCTGTTTCACTAAGTCGTCAAAAGGTGGCCAAGTTCAGCTCGTGCACCTGCACTCAGGCTCCCTGGGTTGAAATTTTGGTTCTGCTCCCAGGTGGCCTTAGGCAAATCTTATCTCAGTTTCCTTGTCAGTAAAAAAGGGATATGTATGGGACCAATCTCACGGAGTTTTATAAGGATCAGTTAACATATGTAAATACAGGAGCATACCATGTATTAAGTGTTTTGTAGGCATCAGATATTATTGCTACTTATTTTTTTCAAAAAATAAAATTTCATTTTTTAAAAGATCATCCAATTTTTTATAGTTTATTTGGATTTGGGTTCCTTTAGTGCTCATGCTTTGGAGAAAGGAAATTGTTTGGCTATGCAAAGTCTTCAGGCTCTTGGTAGCTTTCCCAGCATGAAGCCATGTGATGATGGAATTATCCCATAAATGATTCTCCAGATCCACATTAAATTAATGAATAGAAATTTTTATCAGAGATTGAAATATATATGACCAGTGAAGACATTTTCAGGAAGAAAGATGTGAGTTTTATTTGCATAAAATAAAACCTGAGACTCGCCTACGTGGTTTAACCAGCTGTTGGGACAGTGAGCCCTAAGGTGGCGCAGGGACAGCGTCTGTCGCGTTACAGATCAGACAGAAACACCAGGCCCCTATCCTCATCTTTGCTCCGAAACACACACAAAGCTCTTTATTTATTTTATACCTGAAATGCCATAGGTACCCGGGGGGGCTCTGGACCGC